CCAAACCAATCCTGTGGGAGTTGAATTCTTTTCTTATGCAAACGCTTCCTTTTGTTCCAATGAATAGCATAAATTCTGGTAACGTGAGTGAAAACGTTCTATACCGTATGAGGCGCTCCCTCGTCAATTTTAAAGCAGAGTCCACGTGGATAAGATTTGATACCAACATTCCTATTCTACTTTCATCTTCACACACACACGCCTACATGAACACGCAGCCCTTTTTGGTTACTCATATTCCTTTATATCTCTTTAGGAAGGTGTACCAGTTTTCCTTGTATTGGCCCATCATTCCAATTTTGACGGCGCAAAACCGCGTGTTTTCAAAGCATGATTCTCGCGGCATTGCACTAGTTACTCTCATATCTGCTACTATAGCGACAACGACAACAACAACAATGAGTGAGTTACAGATTTTCTTCTCGTGTTCGAAGGTTCAACTCCCACAGGACTGGCTTGAGATACCAACATTGGCCGCAGTTTCATTGTTTTGGAACACCAATATGGCGGACTTGACGTCATGAGAAAACTCTCTTTTAAAGAAACGCACTTCCTGATGACATAGTAAGAGACTGGTTATGAATGCCGGCAAAAATCAACGGTGCTGCAGTCCATAGCATGTCTCAGGCGTTTTTTAGAAATAGGGAAGGCGCAAAGAGGAGTGAACAACTGCAAGAGGTTAAGGAGAGAGGGCGAAAGATATAAGACGTGTTCTCTCTTTTCTCGCTCTCGTCTTCCCCACTCCTACTCTTCATTTCGCGTCATTAGGGACTTTACGATCCATCGACGCGATGGCAACGAAAACGTCAAAAAATTAATAGGTTCTGAAGGCAAACAACAACTCCGCGACCCCAGTGCTGCCCAGAGAGCTTGACCGCAGGCTATACCAACGCCTGGAACAGCCTATCTGGTCCCAAAAAAAGATAACAAAAACATGCAAGAAAGAAATCTTAGAGATTCATAACCATTACAGTTTATTTACTTTGCTGATGATTTTTGTCCAGCTTGACGTATAAGAGTCCAGCTTTTCTCCGCGCGTCAACCTGATAGAACCTGTGCGCACGTAAGCGTGCGTAGGTCAATCAGAATGAGCGATAGACGTGTAAAAGCGTAAGGCAGGCCATTCTAACAACAGCTAGTTTACCAATTATCTCAATCGCCCGGGGGCTGGATATTTCGGCGAAAAACGCCCATTAAAGCTAGTAGAGCACGATCACGCAAGGAAAAAAAGTACCCAGAATGTGACTTTTGAAAAAAGAATGGAGCACTATGCTTAATAAACGTTGACCGTCAATTATGCACGCATGACCACCCTAAAAGTAGACAAGAATGGAAGTTAGCTGATCTGTTGTATACAGCCTGCCACTTCAAGTTTATATTTCGTTGAATAAGAAAAGCTTCCTTCTTTACAGTTCCGACATACCTAACTACACATGTAAATGAAAAGGCCAGGCCACGGTTGTTCAAACGTTGGATAGCGCTATCTATATCCACCAGATAAATGATCACTATCCAGTGGATAAGTCAGTTGGGGAAACTAATTGCACTGTCCACTGGTTCAGAGATTCATCCGGTGGATAGCGCTATCCAGCCTTTGAACAACCGAGGCCAGGTGTATCGCCGTTACTCCGCGAAGTTTTCACCACAAGACCTCATAGAATATTCAGTCCTCCTTTTTCAAACGGAATAAAGTTGGCGTGATATCCCTTCATGAGTGACCGTTAGTTACAGACGATTGCTGACGTCACGCTGGGGCCATGCTTGTGAACAAAAACAAAAGCNCTACACATGTAAATGAAAAGGCCAGGCCACGGTTGTTCAAACGTTGGATAGCGCTATCTATATCCACCAGATAAATGATCACTATCCAGTGGATAAGTCAGTTGGGGAAACTAATTGCACTGTCCACTGGTTCAGAGATTCATCCGGTGGATAGCGCTATCCAGCCTTTGAACAACCGAGGCCAGGTGTATCGCCGTTACTCCGCGAAGTTTTCACCACAAGACCTCATAGAATATTCAGTCCTCCTTTTTCAAACGGAATAAAGTTGGCGTGATATCCCTTCATGAGTGACCGTTAGTTACAGACGATTGCTGACGTCACGCTGGGGCCATGCTTGTGAACAAAAACAAAAGCTTTTCCCTCCGCTGGGAAAAAAACTTTTTTTTTCATACAAATTTCGCGAAAATAAACCTTGTTTTGTCCGCAAACATGGCCGCCTTGTCACGAAGTTGAGTAACAGAGATGATAACCCGAAGGAGCCTACACTTCATACTTTCCTACTTTATTAAAATGATCTGCGGGCATCTTTCGCTAATCCAGGAGGATCAGCCATATTCAAAGAGAGAAAATTAGGGTCATGTCTGCGGCATCGACACCCGTGAATTTCTCTCACGTGACCCAGTTTTCACTTTAGTTCTCGTCTATTAATCACTATAACTACACGAAAATCAGCAGAGTAACGCCAGTTTTATCTTAAAGAATTGTTTTGAGCTGTTTTCATCTGCTGTATTTTGAGAATTGTTCAATTTGAATCTGACGTTTGTGGTTTGCCGTAATCGTGACCCTAATTGCCTGTTCCAGGGCTTTCAGACAGTAGACCGTGGGCGAAAAATTAGTATAGGTAATAGCATGATTTGTAGCGATATTAGGCATAAATAGCACGAGTTATATTTGAGACAATTTTGGAATATCAAGTGGTATTTTATGCCTAATATCACGTGCAAATCATGCTATTATTTGTTTATACTACTACCCTCAAAGGATTTGTAATTTTCACGTGTAGGTATTTCAAATTAAGCTGAAATACCACTGCTCTTAGCCAATCAAATTGAAGAAATTCCTCATGCAGTAGTATAAACTAGGAAAAAAACGAGGGGAGACGAGTAGGGAGGGAAAAGCTCCAGTCTCCCCTAATCTCTCTTCCTTCGTTTTCCCCGCGTACGACTCTGAACGCGCTCCCCACCATCTCAACGCCGCACTCTTCTATTTGAACGCCTGGAATGGGCTACGACTCTAAACCCTCTTTTATTAGTATATACTATAACTCTAAGCGTTTATAAGACTACTCCGTAGAGTTTAGACAAACGTTTCTAGCACTTTGTCAAGTAATAAGAGCGCGTGGTATATTAAAGGTGGCCGCATGATACAAGTTCGACAGCAGTATTTTTGATTATGAGCTGTTAAAAAATTTCTTAGAACAACAGTTCCAGTGATCTGTGCTTGTAGAAGACAGGTGGCTCCGTTCGTCGTCACACTAATGGTAGTGGTAGTGCCCTCGTCCGGGACTACAACAACCTTTTGCGAACTAAAACCTTTGCTAGAGTGTATATCACAGTTCCTTTCGTTGCTGATGTCCATGTCGCTGTATGTCCAGATTAAATGCACTTGTTTAGCAGGATTAGCTCAGTCGGTAGGAGCGCTTGACTGCAGAGTGGGAGGTCGTGGGTTTGATTCTCGGGGCCGGACTAATACTCAGGGTCTCGAAATGACCGAGAAATAATGGTACTGCCTTTGACTGCTATAAAATAACTGTTCGAAAGAGCAAATATTGTCTAGAAATTTCTAAAGTTCGACAACGGCCAAAGCTGTTTTCTGGATAACTATTCTATTCATTCAAGATATACAGAGATTTCCATTATTTTTACTACGATTTTCAGAGGTTGTGAGTTTTTTCAGATTTCATTACCAAGATATTACGATTATTGAAAAAGTGTCCCCTGAAATTTTCGGTATAGAGACACAGCGTCATCCATGTTCTCGAAGTCCGGACCAGACTGATGTGTCTCATTAGATATGTCCTCCCGTAGACAACCAGCAAATCTTGCCATTTTGTTTGGTTGTTTATTAATGTATATATTTAGAGGGAAAAAACCACCTATGAACCGGCATATGGCACTTTTCCGCGTTAACATTTCAGAGTGGACAAGCTTGCGGAGCCGGTTCAGTAGAAATGTACCGCATTGAGAAAGAGAAAACTTGCGAAAGAATAGAGAAGGCTGCTTCTCTTTCTTCGAGTGTCCTCCTGTTTTGCGCGCATCACTCATCTTGTCCCTTTCTTCTCGCTAGTGTCTTCCAGTAGTTCGCGGATTATTTTTCTCGCCTTTCCTCCCTCCAAAGCTGAATGCCGGATCCAGACCTTGAGATAAGCGGGGGGCGGGTCATTTAGACCCTGAGATAAGGGGGCCGGCGCCTCCCGGGCCCCTTCCCTAGATACGACACTGAGATATAATCATTATTAACTGGTTATCATTCAGATGAAAAGCTTTTTGACACTGTTTAAAGCCCAACGTAGGGCGCCTTTTCATAATACATGACTGTCCAAACTCCTTTCAGCTAGTAATTTGTTAAACGTGTTTATTTTTAGCATTAGGCGGCGAAAAATCATTAATTGAAACGAAGACAACATTAGCATGAATATCAACGTCGCTGGGAACAAATCGGAATAGATATTATCCTGAATTGAGCATGAAGAAACGAGGGAAGCAATAGCTCGTGTCAGTCCCCAACGTGCCCACTCCGGCTATCATCGATTCTCACCTCCGTTTCTCTCTTCTGCGTGGCAGAATAGTGGGGTCGCGGTCGGCGAAAAGGAAAAATCAGCGAAAAACTCTGCGCATGCGTATTTTAAGCGTGTTTGTTTTTGTATTGTTTTTGTCACTAATTAGAGATTTGCGTTACTACCTAACTGAATGTGATAAGGAATCTTATTTGTTAATGAGATCTGATCTTTTAACACAAGGGCGTGCATAAAATTAAATAATTACGCAAAGGCACTCTCTTGCATCGCATTTACATGATGCTTTCTCGATTTTATTTGCCGAAACAATCTTGAACATTAAAACTTAAAATAATTAAGCGGACTTTTCCGTATATTTCCTGTCATAAAACAGTTATTTGTGCATGTAAATTATCCCGCGATCATTGTTTCTTTGTCGCTTTCCGTGCACCTGCCAGCAGACCTAACTCAATCGTTTTCCGCAAAGTATTTATATCCATCGAGATTGTTGCTTAATTCAATGTGCAAATTAGGTGGCTGTTACTAATAGCAATATATTGCTCAAAGTCAGCAGCGAGAGGACCTAGGTTAGCTGTTTATTGATCAATTGATACCGTGAGGCTCCATTTTCAGTTCGCTTAACAAGTTTTTATTCAGTGCTGAAATTTAACTCCCCTCAAGTCTAATTGGTTTTGAGATTGGCAGAAGTGCATACTCATATTCGAGCATTTGGCTGAAATTTATGCGATGAATGCAGTCGGGCTGTAGAAGTTGTCAACTTGTACTCACCTTTCATTACGTTTTCATTGATATCGTCGTTAGCAAAAGCAGAAATCGGTCCATCTTTCACGACGCAAAGGATGTCCAAATTTATCCCAATGCGGGGACTGAGGTGAAGAGAAAATAGCAAGGACCACTAAGGAGCTATCGTTAAAACCCAAACACTGTTAAGTGTTGAAGACAATTAGATCGAGATCGTTCGATCGAGCTTACGTTCAACCATGGAGGCTCTCAGTGTATTTCATCGACTTGTACCGGGTCGCCGGCAAAGGGGTAGGTATCGACTCAGCTCCTCTCAAGCGGCTGAGAGTGTAAACCGAAGTATGGATAGCATTTTGGACGATCTCGAGGAAGCAAAAAGGAGACGCCGATTATCATACCCAGCATCGGAGGTAGGCACTAGATAATACAAAATTAGTAATACCTGTAACCAAATTTCGTTGGTGTGTGTGCATTTTGCTGTTGTATTATATTGTTCAACCAGGGTTTTAACGATCCAAAGGTTGATGCTTTCTACCGGCAGCTGCTCTGTTGGAATCGATTGTCCCCGTTCATTTATTTTCAGTTGAAGTATTTTACGTATAACTTATAAAAAGCGATGTTAGTGTCTCAGAAAATGTTCGAGTTTCGTGTTTTTACTATGAAATATTGGCTTATTTTGAATCCGTTCACAACAGTTGTTTGGGTTAAAAATAAAATTTTACGAAAGTTTTCGTCCAGTATAACACAGGAAATGTCAGTTCCGTTGTTAAGAGTACCCTTATTCGTCTCGTGATGGGCACTCAAATGCACTTCTTAACGGTCAACTGCACCCCACTGCGTCTACGCTGACCGCATGCAGAAATAGCAACAAATAATGATTATCTTTTCAGTAGTTCTTTTGTCATGATCATCTGCTGAGTGTTTTTCGATATCACGCAAGCTGTTACCAACTGGCAGTAATATGACTGGCGTTAAATGACAAACGACGAATTTTCATCAACTCTGGATCGTACGATAAAAAATAAAAACTGTCATAGAAGCAGAAAAGAATTACTCCTTCCGCAGTCCATTAATCGCTTTAAAAGCTAAACAAATTCAAATAAAATGGACAAACAAGCATATCAAACTAATAGCGTTTCCGGCGGCTGGAGCTGAAACATCAAATAATACATTCAAATTATACAAATATAATATGCATACGCAGTGAACACATCCATGCCGAGAAAGAAAGAAAACTTAAGGTGGCTCGACTGGATTTTTTAGGGAGGATACCTCCAAAGTTTCAGTCTTAATTACATCGGCATGAGTAAAGATATAGGGAAAAGGTTACCACAACTATATTATATGAAAATGAAAATTTCTTATGATCCGGTTTTTATTGCAATCGGAGTCGCCATGGCAAAGTTTGAACAAATTCTATGGGAGCGTTTTGGAAATATTTTGAAACGAAGTTTTAAGAATCATAAAAACAGTGAAATATATGGCAGTGCCATCGACACAATTAGCTAATATTTTAAGAAAATGATAAGCTTTGGAAACGCGGCTTCATCTCATAGAGGTTTAATTCCATTGAAAACAACTGCCTACTTAAAATGAGGGGAATTGCTCTGGGCGATCGCGAGTAAGAAGAACTTTATTAACTTGCATTCAGCTGCTTTTGTTACAATTTTTGCACGTCGTATTCAAAAAAACGCTTGATAATTTTTTTTATAAACTTGACAATCCAGAGATCAATCCACAAATAAAGCTAGGAAGTTTCAAGATTATTGAAAACAGGGAAGGCTTTTAAATAGGGCCTCAAATATAAGCAATTAAAGAAAAGCACGCAAAAACGGTATATAGCTCTTTTCATTTTCTAGTCTACTCCATTTGATAAAGCCGGAAGTTCCGCTTGTGAGCGAGCGTGGAGCACCCTGGGTAGTAAAATCCGTGCTCTATCCGGATCAACAACATTTTGCTTGTTAAGGAGCAATAATCGATTATGGTTCCTGTTGTTGCGTGATAGCACGTCTGTTAGCCTCCATTGCAGGCATTTTCGTTGGGTGCGCGAGTGTTTTTGTTCGCGTAATCGCCATTTTGAACTGAACCGCAATGACAAGGTCAATAAGGCATGTCCATGCCTCAGGGGCACCCAACGTCAATTTTCGGAAAGTATCTGTTCGGAAGACGATTTAAGATCTAGAATTTTCGGAACATTTGTTGTCAAATTTCTTGCTTGCCTGCCTCTTCTAAGATTTTCGAACATCTAAAAAATGATATAACTGCTCATTTTTAACGGATTTTTACCCTAGAAAGGTCACCTAGAATTTTCGGGAGCCTTTTTTCTGGCTGAAATTGTCGAAAAGGTAAGTTTTGATCCGTAAAATTTTCGGATCACTAGACTTTTAGCTAGGAAATCCGAACAGATGAAAAACTTTTAGGGGATAAAAATATGCCTATATCTACCGTTTAAATACTAAATTACGTTCAACAATGCTATGTTTAAGTGGTTTTGAAATATATTCTCGTTGGGTGCCCCTGATGCCTTCACGGCGTTCAGTCAGGAGCCGGTAATCAGCTCCTTCCATCATCCGTCCACACCACATGAAAATTGTGTAATTACCTAAACCAAAAAAAATTAAATGAAGAAATAACTTGGATCATAGCATAAAATCATCCTGTCACATTAATTCTTACGTATACTAGGCTGCACACTGGGAGTTTTCTGAGTGCTATCGGCCCCATTCCCTCGTAGCAGTTGTTTTTTGTTCGTGCGCGCCAACAATATCGCTAGCTACGCAGTCTGCATTCTTACAAGACGAGTTATCCACATCTAGCGGTCGAAACAAGCGGTTAAGCATCACTTAATTGGAATTTTTCTTTATAAAAAATTAAGCTATTCATCAGGAAGCACTTTAAGTTTAAGTATGCTATTTAACATTTGGTTGCGAGTTATTCTGGCTATTTTTTGACCACGTGTCTCGTGGAGGAATGCGAAGAAAACGTAGAATGAGTGACCCATCTCATTCCCAGATCCTCGTGATGAAAGTACAGGTCGGAATAATTAATGAATCTGACGAGAATATTGTTCAGTATTGTTTTTGCCATCGCCTGTTTTTCAAAATGAAAAATCCCTCATTTTTTTCACACCCCTTTTATCTAAAATTGTTTTGAAGTTGTCCGTAGTCTCGTGAGTGAAGGCCGAAGGTTACTATAGCATCACTCTTTGGTATGCTGATGTAAGAAAATGGGACTATGCTCTCTTAGGCCGGGTGATATTGTCACACGAAGTATGTTTACTAACCATGTATATTTAATTTTAGATTCGTGATGTCTATTTATAACAACATTACCTGTTAGCCCATCTCCTCCGGACATTCATTGTGTAAAATGTTTCGAAAGCATGTCGGAACTCGTCACTTGAACTCGGCCTTGAACTCAGCTCACCGTCACAAGGCCAGATAGAGTATAATCGTCATGCAACGAATTTTGGCCACCCAGATACTTTTAAACGCATTCAGGGCTTTTCCTTGAAATAAATTAAAGTTTGTAAGCTTCTGTTTGATTAAAGTTATTTCTAGTTTCCGTCTTACACCAGCTTTGAAAAAAAGAGGCCACCCTCCCCTCCCTCATCTCTGTAAATATCACGTGTCTAGGGCCCAATCTCATACTGACTTTGGTCGATTTTGATGGAACACAATCCAGATTTTCGATGAAGAATTACTATGTTGGAAAAGAACTAATTTTCCAAAGCGGAAGATGGTTCTATTTCCGCGCAGATGTCGGTGTAATCTACTAATATTTCGTGTTTTATTTGTTCCCTATTTGCAAACATAAGCTGCGGGCTATCAAGAGACTTAGAACGGTGAAGATGTCGTCGAATGGTCTGGCGGTTTCGGAAGCCATCCAGCAAATTCAACTCGTGCAAGGCATGATAGATACAACTGCCTCGAGTTTGAACAGCTTACGAACTCAGTTTCCGACAAACAACGACTTGATACAGCAAGAAATTCGCACCTCTGAGGTAAATAATATCGCTTAAACTTCTCAATTTTAACTCTTTAGGAACAGTTGGGAGCTTGATGTCCTCCGGGTTTGTTCAGCGGTCAACTCGACCACTAACCCCTATGGGATATATTGATGCAAGATTGGCAAAATTTGGCTACTTTCGATACAAATCCTTTTGCTTTTGATTGTCTGTCGCGGAGTTTGACTTAGAATTTTTCGCTCTTCCCATTTTTAAAACGCACTTTAAAAGCTATTAGTGTTGTGCTGTTAACTGGCGGTTGCGACGTGACCGAGTATTGACAATTGTCGTTAATGCTGAAAATTTTATTGATGTTTACGTTAACCAACAAGGGATCGTCACACGATATTCTTAGCTTTCCATAAGCGAAAGCCCAAAATTGATAAAACCTCGTCCTAAAAACATACTTTTCGCTTTGATAGATAGTTTGTTTACACTTTGTAAAGATTCGAGATCGAGGTTGTACTTTCTTATTGGCATTTCGGGTGCCGTCTTTCCCTTTACAGACCTTGAATCAATATCATTAACGGGTAATTCTTTCACCTAAGAGACATCTTCAACAAGAAATAGATGCATTGGCTGTATGCTTGGTAGTTGGGAAGAGTCTTAAATTCTTGGAAAAGACCTAAAAGTTAGAAAATTTATAATGAAAGCCGCCTCCAGGCTTCCCTGTTCTACATCTTAATTTAGAATTAACAACCTAAGACCCTGTTCATACGTCATGCTTCTGGGGTGCCAAATGGAATAATTGCAATTATTGTAGTAGGGTTCAACATAAGCGTGATGGGGGCACAACTTCAAGTCAGACGTTGTACCAGATTCAAACTTTATTGTGAATGTACACCAATGAGTATCGAGTCAGTGGTAAATAAAACACAAAAGTATATATTTCCAAAATCACATTTCCAAAATTTATGAATTTTGCTCAACGTGGCATACGCAGGTTGTTTGAATCTCTGCTGTGCCAAAGTCGTGTAGAAAAGCATGCCTTGTCAAATTTAATTGATCTGTAGAACCGAATTTAAAAATTTGATTCAGACGTCCTGCTTCTACCCATGCTTTTGTTGAACTCAATAAAAGAATAAAGTTCAGCATAGCAGAAGCACGATGTACAAACTTGGTATGATTGAAAAATGTATATTAAATAGTTTTGCAGTTGACTTATTTTGCAAGTTTCACCACTGTACAGTCGAACCCCTACTAATGGTCACCTCTCCACAATTGCCACCTCTCTACAATGGCCACCTCTCTACGGCAGCCATTTTATTCTGTCCCCAAGGTGGCCATTGTAGAGAGGTTCAACTGTATTACTGTATCTCGACTTGTGTTCTCCACATTCTGAAGAAAATAAGTCGTCTGTCTCACAGGCACAGAGGAGAAAAAATGTAACCAGCAGTCACAAAAATATTGATGTCATGAACTGCAAAATTTGAAAGAAAAGTCATAATCAGGAACCAACTATGTCCAAGAAAAGTCATACTCAAAATTACTCTCCCTTCTACCAACTTAACAAATTTTATTGGAAAAATGTTGTAAGTGCTTATTTATAAGAACCGATCATACTTGCCACCTTATTACAGAAGAAATGAATTAATAATAGATTGCTTGGTATTTCCAAATTAATAATGCATACTCAATAAAGTCTTTGGACAATTTCTCTGAGAATTCTGACCACCAGGTATTTGGTGTGTTGTTGTCCTTTGCTAATGTGTGATAATGCATCTGAAACAAAGGAAAACTTTAAACCAGTGTTAAAATAAAGTTGACTTTTGAGTGCTGTTGAAACTGTGCCAATGAGTTAAATTAGGTTATTTTTTCAGAGTAAAATTTGCATTTTAATAGAATGTAGCAGACACAAAATTACTTAGGTATGAAATCACTGCCTTTTCTTGTGATCACTTAGCTTTTAAACTGGAATTTGAGTGCATTCTCTGCCCTTAATATAAATCCACTAGAAATTACCTGGTCCATTGACATAAAAGCACAATGAAATACATTCAAAAGGTTGATATAAAACAGCTATTTTATATATGATAATGTCAATTATTACTAAAATGCATTTCATAGTAAACGTGCATGTGCATAATTATTATTAATTTTTTTCTGCGTGTATGAATTCAGTTTTATGCAATTTATTCTCTGCATGTATCCATTTTATTCACTTCACTGACTTGCATTGTCTAGATGTAGATTTATTATAGCTGCAGATCACATTAAATTGTACGGCTGACATTCACCCAATATATTTCCAGTCATGATAAAAGTAAATGAAGACTGTACATGTGTACATGCTTTACTTAGTGTCCTTGTGTGCTCAAAAGTTACTTTGTACTCGTCCTGTTGCATGTTCACTTTTCCTTTACGTGACATTGTATGATTAATCTATACAAGTGCTTAATTTTTCATTTTGTTTATATTGATTTAAGGGGAAGCTTGTCAAATTGTTTTCAAGGCAATTGGTAGCTAAGCAAAGGTGCGGCGAAGACTGGAAACAGTGTACGAAGCTACGAGAGTACCCTGAACTGGAGCGATGGCTTCAAGTGGTAGGGATCAATGAAGAAGCTATTAAGGTACAGTAAATTATTATGCTCAACATGTTCTGTTGAGATAAGTAAAGGTAGCCTGAGAAAAAAGCCGACATTTTGCAATGCCTTCGGTGGTGCAAAAATTTCATACTGATGACGCATCACTAGTTAGATCGTGGTGGTGCTTCTGGAGTGATTAGATGAGGCAAATTTCCAACCTGCCAGAAGCACTTCCCAGATCTGGGTAATTACGCGTCATCAGTAATAGATTTATGCACTCATTTCTCAGAGGTCATTTCATGGGGAAACCACTGTTGGCATCACGTAATGTGAGTTGTTTTCTCAGGCTAAATTGAAGGTGGCATATTGTGAGAATACTATCTTCTCGCCTGTTCAAATGTGGATAAAACTATCCTTTGGATAAAATAATCTCTATCTGTGGATAATGCATTTGGTTTTCTTTAATCTGTCTTATCCACTGGATAGTGATTAATTTGGCTGATAGTGCTATACAGCCTTTATACAGCCAGGGCCTAGTGTTGAAGCCATGTGAAAGTAGTGTTTGTTGCTAGTTCCCTTCCTGTTTTGGAGAGGGCTTCTCCCAGATACTTGCCTTCTCTTCTGGACTGGTTGTAGTTAAAAATGGGGAAAAATCACTCTAAAAGTTTTCTTGTTCATCTCACTAAGTTTTCTTCATCTTTCAGATCACTGAAATAGGCCACAATTTTGTTTTGAAAGCCTTTGCTTTCACTTGCATGAATTAAATTTTCCAGAATTTATAGGGAAAGTATAGCTCAGCACTTCTCTAATTGGCCAGATTTGGGGTGTGTAGTATTACAGATACATTTTGTGTATACCAGTGCTTAGACTTAGTGAATCAGTTGGCAAATCCCGACGGTGACTGCTAAATACACATTTGATTGTATTTCTTTTGTTTACATAACTACACTTTTTTATTTTTTGAAGCAATAATCAGGGCTTTAATTTTTCCCATTATTTAATTTTTGCTCATTTTTGTCTTCAGAAATTAGAAGAAATATGTAGTACACTGGAAGCGCTTTTGACCCTACCTGATGAGAAAGTAAGGGCAGTGCTTGAGAACTATGAAGATGGCCAGGAAGAAAGTAGAAAGTTGATTGCAGCTTTGAAACATCTTAAGGTCTACTCAGGTACATAATACACAAAATTTTGTGAGTACAGTGTAAATGGTGGAGTACAATGCAGGAATCTCCCGTACAATTTACATCAACATGATGTAAAGTAGGGAGGAGCAAGTTACCACACAATTCCGAAAATAAGCCCCTCCATGTATAAGCCCTTCCAAATATAAGCCCCGTAAACTTGTAACGCAAAAACCCATCCATTAAATTGCCTCTCCTTATATAAGCCCCCCAGGGGTTTGTACTTGGAAATTGCCCTCAAATACAAAGTAAAACAAAGAAAAAACAGTAGATTTCCTTCCCACTGTAATGATAGCCCAATTAATTTAGAAACACAAATTTCCCTCCATAGATAAGCCCCTCCGAAAATAAGCCCCTCAAAAAGGGCCTTTGAAAAATATGAGCCCCAGGGCTTATTTTCAGGATTTTACAGTACTGTATACCAGTGGGGCTTGATCAGTACAACTGCCCTTAACCAGACGTACTTATTTACACAATACCGTGGACCTTATGAAGGGAAGTTTAGTTTGGTGTGAATTATCAGAGATTTCGAAAAACCGAGGATTCTGGAAATTGGGACAGTAGATAAATGTTGGCTCTGGAATTAATTAAGACAAAAACAAAAGATTTGAATGTTACAGAACTGTGCATGTACTTTTACTATAATTTTGTGGTACTTAAACTGTAATGGTAGTACATCAATCTTTATTGTTGTTGGTGGTACTTTAAAGCAGATAAGGTTTTAACTAAGTTTCAGCCAGTGAATGAATACGTGATTGTACTGTTTGTACATTCTAAGTATACCCACCACTGTGCATTGTTAAGTAACCTCATCGTAACCATTGTTATCATTTACCTAATGCTAACTGTACGGCTGCATTGGCCTTATTCCATTATAGAACGTCTAAGACAGGGTCACAAAGACAGCACCTCTGACATCTACTGGACCTCTTGGGACACTGGTAAGACCAGAGAGAGGGGCCACTCCACCTCTCCATCAGAGCGATCTTCCCGCTCATCTGTCACATTGGACAATGATGTACTGTCAGTCCCAGATGGTGACTCCACTGGGGGATCCAGGCTTTCAACACTGTCTACCAGTGATAATGAATCTGTTGTAAGTCCTAAGCAGCGTATTGCTCTACCCTTCCTGTTCACTACCCGTTCCGATGGCCTGGTCTTGCCACTCAAGAGAAGTGTGTCTGATGAGGTGAATTTAGGTATGACAATGTTATGTTTTAGTTTGTAAACCGTTAAGTTCCAAAAGTAACAACTCTCCAAAATTAGCAACCCCACGAGTGTTTTCCCCTTTTTGCAAGAAAGAAAGGAAATGATAGATATAGCAAGCAAGCCATTTCAAACTGATCCAAGGTTTATTTTTAATCGTTATGATGATCCTTGACATTCCTATTCAACTAAAGACTCTCTGAAAACTCATACCGAAATCAAACAAGTCTTTCGAGTTATTCTGATTTAAAACAATAACACCAAATAAGTTTCTCCAAATAAAAATTTTGGTTGTTTTCACATTTGTCACAATATGATATTACTGTAACTTCAAATGGCCCATGTATGGTACACGTTTTAGCTACCTGAAAGTAGCTGCAATAGAACAAGGCTGCTCAATCCATAAGTAACGAGGTTAGGGTAGTTACTTTCAGAACTTTATGGTACATGTATACTGGTAAATCCCAGCTTTTTACAATAACAGAGCATTTTTTATTGGGCTGATTGGTGGAGAGCTATGGTCTATGAGAGTGTAGTCCACCAAAATCATCTGATGATGGTACGATTATTCTTTATTTATACTTTTCTCTCTCATTCTATTTTCCAAGAGACTTCACCGGAAATTGTCATTAAATTCTGTCAATGTTATTGTAAAAACGGAAATGGACCATACATGTAATTTTCCATGGTCTGTACTCTAACAGGTCATCAAAATGACATCAAAATGTGAAACCATTCACTTGTGGTTCCGCTTGAGTTTTGAACATTTTGGCATCTGATCTACAGCCTACATGTATAAGAGTGGCCATGGGAAATAAAATTGTGTTCTGTTTTGTTGAAATTAAAACAATTAATAACTTACATATGACTTTTTTTTATTATTGTGCTGGTTTGACCTGGAATAATATTTTTTCCACGGGTTTGCATGGGAAAAGGTCTTCTATGATTTTAAATTCATTCTCATGTCAAATTCTCTCCCCACCCCCCCACGATTCCCACTTAAGCCAATGGCCAGTCACTTACTGCCTTTTTGCAGGATTACTTCCTTTGTTCTTCATGGGAAAAAATAATAATTAATCTTTGCTTTAAAAGAATCAAGCATTTGAGTTTTGCTAACACCAATTGAAAACAGAACTCACATTTTTTTGATCATCCCCCAACAGAAAACGCACTTAAACAAATCAACATTTTTTGCACATCTAGAACGTCTTGACTAACAAATCACCTATGTAAAAAGAAATGTACATCATCAAATTAATGGAAAGTTTGAGATTGAATGTAGACTTGAACTCTTGTGCTAAATGTCCCCATCATCAGGAAGTGATGTGGGGCTGCCTTATTCACAGTCTAGATTTTGCCTTTGTTTAAAAACTCAGAGACATAGCCCAGCAGATGGAGGCATGGCCAAAAACACAAAGAAGGTAGTGGTGGTTTTGGCTGGCTGCTGGATTTTTTGAAAGGCTGCAATACAATAATGAGATAATACAGTATTCTGGGATTTTCTTCACAGGAAACAGAATAATTATTACAAGTAAACATGCAAGTTCAACTGTTGGGAAGAAGCAAGGAAGAGGAAAGCTAGAACCAGCAATTCCTGGCATGACTATAGAAATTCCCAAGAGCACAAGTGGTGACTTCTCCCAGTCTGATTCAGAGTCCGATCATCATTCAAGTAAGTAAAAAAAAAAAAAATCATTCAAGCAAGTGATTAAATTAAAGGAACCAAATTACATATATTGCAATCATCCCTTTTCACTTACAAAATAAAGGATGGATTGTAGGCTACTACCTTAATTTTTTGAGGAATGTAAAGAAGTTTCCTTTTTAGAAAGGTCACATTACACTGTATTTTTTTGGTCTGGCCAGCTCATCAGGTTATTCAGTACCAAAAACCTTGTCAGGCATACCATAAATCCGCTATAAAACCTTTCAAGAGGGGGAGGGGGCTTATTTTTTTCAAGCACATTAATTTTAAGAGGTGGCTCACTAAATTTTGTAAAGATGGTGGTACCAATTCACCATTAAAGAACTAGTATGCGGAGTGAAAAAGCTCGGGCACATGAAGTTGGAGTTCATTCAGCCGAAGATCAAAACAAATCCAAACTTCCAGTACATGAATAAACCAGATCTAATGCCAGATCATTCTACGTGAAGTGTTACAGTTGTGATTATTAATGCAGTCTATCATTTAAGAATAACGGGGGTGAGGAGGGGGAATTAAAAGAGAGGGGAGGCTAAGGAACATTGTTCTCATGAAAAAGGGGGGCTTATTAGAGAGGGGGGTTTATGGTACCTTTAGTTTCAATCTCCTTTAAAATGATAATGTCCATTATTTGATAAGTGCAGTCATCATGTCTAAGTGCAGGATGCATTTCCTAGTCTAAAAAATTGTTAATCTCTGGTTCTAAGGTCTACATGGGATAGCATCTCCTGCAAGGTCCATTACTCCTGTTGCGCACTATGGTTTGGGACATACGATAAAACACAGGTATGCGTTGCATTCTTTCTGTACTTTCTTCTTCATGTAGATAATGTACAATGTACACTTTAGTAGTAGAACTACAAGTACTGTAGATTCAGTAGGTTGTCTTTTTTACACCACCAAAGGCCATAACATACAAGGAGAGGAACTGTTAGCAACCACCCTTTCCTAGCAGTCATTTACTTGTTACTAGTCTGTTGTGTCCCAAGAAAGAGCAGCATTAATAGTGTTTTCTATCACACCACAAATGCCTAGACAAGACTAAATTCTCTCGACTTGTGTTAATAACTTCAGAATCTGTTTTAATCTTGCTTGTTTTCTGTTTCTAATAATAATAAAAGGGACTAAAAATTTGAACAGTGCAAAATTAATGTACAAGGTCAGTTTGCCACTAAATTGATCAATTTTATTTAGGTTTTCCCAGAAAACCTTCATGGTGAAATTGTCGTGTGATTTTTGTCATAAAATCCTGCTTGTTGGGGTCAAGTGCAAAGAATGCAAGTAAGTCTGTTTCACCTATTTATCCTTTGCTCCCAGAAGTTGGCACAGAAACTAAACAAAAAAAAAAGAAATTTTTAGAGAAAGAAAATTATTTTAGCAAAATACTGAAAAACAAAAAAAATGAAGAGGGCGGCTAGGCAATGGCTGAAAAGTTAACGTGGCTAGCAGCTAAATACAGGAATTGCATTGACCTGTGATTAGAAGATAAAAATAGTATTTTAAGTGGTAATGACATGAACAGTTTTTTGTGGAGGGTTATGTGGCTGAGCGGTTAACACCTCAAACTCTGGATGAGGATGTCCCGGGTTCAAGCCTCGCCCGGTACGTTGTTTCCTTAGACGAGGAATTTTACTCCACTTTGTCTCTCTTCACCCTGGTGTATAAATGGGTACCGGCGACATACTGCTGGGGGTTAACCCGGCGATGGACTAGCATCCCATCCAGGGGGGAGTAGCAATACTCCTAGGCTTGCTTCATGCTACAGAAACTGGAAATAAGCTCCGGCTGTGTGGGCCTTTGGCTTGTGTGCGCTTTTACCTTTATCTTACATGAACAGTTTGTTATTTGTCAGGTCTTTCCAGATAACAGTTTTTTGATACAGATAGTTGACAACAAAACATATTAAATCTATATAAGTGCTCCCCAGGAGACAAAGGAAATATTATTATTGAAAATAAACCCAGGTTAAAAAGTTTTAGTCTGAAATCAAACGCATATAATGTGTCTATATTGTTGTCTCTTTGTACACTTTATTTGACAGGATGAAGTTTCACAAAAAATGTTCAAAGCTTACTCCTGCTTCATGTGGGCTCCCCAAGGGATGTGGTGAGTTCTTCAAAGACCAAATCCGTCGAGGTACCAAAAAATTTGTTTTAGTCAAATTAGTTGATAATGTACAACTGTAGATATTTACATATACGTGCAGCCACTGTAGTTGGTTTGAGGGGTGTGTTGAGGAACCTTCATGTTCATTATTTTACTAAGGGCCTGTTTACATGAAGGTGGGGGACCCCAGGTACATGTAGGTGAGGTAACCCACCCACCTGTCCCTATAATCTCTCATAATGGTCACCCCACCTATCATGTAAACTTTGATCAAATTAAAATGAGATATTGTAGGGACAGGCAGGTTACCTCACCCAAGCTGGTTACCTCACCTACGTGGGTCCCCAACTTCCATGTAAACAGGCCCTAACGCTGTCAAGGAAAGCAAAGACTGTTTTACAGTCTACTTCATCAAATAACTGTGTTAATACATGGAGTCAACGTGCATTTTCAGTGAGAAGCTAAAATAAATTTAACAATCTGTTTTGCATGCAGTTTGTGTTTAAGTTAACTTTAAAATATTATACACTGTTCTGTAACTATTAAACTTGTGTGTGACTTATGGCGTTGTCTTTGTATTACACTTGGATAAGACAAGCTCTTGATGGTTTGTCACCTTGGTCTCCACATTAATGAACTGGATTTCATGATAGCCTAACTGGCCCCATAGGAGATGTTCACTCTGGTACAAGATTTTTGTCCACTGAAAATTAAAATTACTTAATTTTCTGATGGATTCTATCTTAATCTCTTTTGCAGCTTTTGACTATCGTTCAGGCTTTGACTATCGGTCATTACCAATAAGGCGTCCTGCCATGAAAAGAACAAACTCAGAACCCCTAACCACAATTCTTCAAATTGAGAGATACTGTCGTGAACAAAGCAGACCAATCCATGCAAACCGTAGCCATGGCGACTTGAATACAGTTGAACCCAAGTGGTCTCATGTTCCACCTCACAGTGCTGTACCACATATTGGTACAAGTGGAGATTCTTGTTCCAACTCATCATCGACATCATCACCGCCATCCTCACCACATCCCACAGCAGTTAATGGCACCAGCCTTTCAGCACAGGAAGAGCTTGATCAGTTTCCAGATTCTCACTTTTCTTTTACAGGTAAGGTTATAATGAACATGGTAGCCTGTTCCAGGCTCCAAGATAGTTGGGTCCGCTGAATTGCAAAAGCACAAACACGAAAATTACATGGATAAAAAATGAGGAGGAGTATTAATTTTGTAAAGAAACATGTGGGGCTTAACTCTTGATAAAACACAAACTGTGAGTTTATTGAACCAGGGCTGTTATCAAGAGCTGGGGGCCAGGGATTTCCCCCAGCTATTATGAATGTTCCCTGCCTACTTTCATGGGAAAATAGAAGAAAAATAGAACCAAAAGAAATCCCTAGCTGTTTGATCCCCCACCTACTTGTTGTATATACCTGGGAACTTGAAATCTTAGTGACATACAGCTGTACCTGTTGAACTACACCCACACTTAAAAATCTTCATTCTCCCAAGAAATTTAGGGTTAGAGATCTTAAGTGCATTTGATCATTATTATTCATATGTCAATGCTTATCATGATGTACTAAGCTGTTGTGAAATAAAAGTATGGCTGTGTTTTATGACCTTAACATTACACTCATGACCTTGTTTCCATTTGTTGTTTTTTTTTGTATGAATAATTTATAAGCTTTTAGATGGTAACAAAAGCTTCATTAACAAGCATTTAAAGCTGTCTAGGGCAAATTTAAGTTAAGATTAAATGATGTTTAAGAGATGCAACTATTGTCTTCATGTGTACAATATGCATGTTGGGTGCATGTGAGAGGTTGCAATAGAATTTTCAGTCACTATACTGTTACAAATCATTAACACATGTTCTTCTGATTGACAGATGTTTCAGGAATGACAACTCCCATGCAAAGGTAAGGTAGCTAGTCGTTGTTTGCTTACTTTACAAAATGTAGGCAGGGGTTTTGTTTCAGGCCAGACGCCAGATGCAACACAGGCATCCCAAACTCACCAAGGGAGTGCTTGTTAAAAATTAATACATCTGGCAATGTTGCTTAACAAAGGGATTTATAGGGTTCATATAAAAATTCAAAAAAAATTCGCCTTATCTTATAGTAGCTACAAAATGACACAAAATACAACACATGTAAGTGTCCTTTAATTTTCTTTTGTTTCATCACAATAAGCCAAGATAAGGAGCGTTTTTTCGAATTTTTACTGTTCCCATATAAACCCTATAAATCCCTTCGTTATGCAACTTTGCTAGATGTATTAATTTTTAACAAGTGCTCGCTTAGCGAGTTTGGATGCAACATTGGGTTGTCTGGTTGTTTGACATGTAATATCCGGTAGATCACACACGAAATAATTCTTTTTTAAGCGTGAAAGTCATTTCTCATTTCATTTATTAATCAAAGATAGATTTCACTGACAAATCTTCATTAAAATGATTTTTCTGTTCATAGTCCCCTATTTTTTCGTTTCGTAAGATCGTCAGGATTGAGCGCTTACTGGTATGGAAGGCCATCCTTAGTTTTATATGTACCCAGGGGGTGGACGTTGGGGTTTAAAGCGTCCCCTAAGTCGTTTTGACACTCATCTAAGAGATGGCTGCCCGGGACTGTGAACAGTCCAGATGTTTCTGATGAGTCAATGCAACAACTGGACTGAACATTTTTAACCATCTCTCACAGGAGATTCATACACTCTTCATTTTGGAATCAACTAAAATTGCCAAATCAAATATTTCATTTTTTGTGAGCATTTTTTAATGCCTGAAAAAAACGTTTCTGGTTAACCAATTCCGGTCCAGGGAACGCAAAAAATTGTGTTTTAGAGAGTCCAATTTTACCCGCCGGTTCGTGCCTCCAGCCAGCAAATGACACAATGTACTTTTGTTACATTTTGTTATGTTTACAATCATATATAGTGAAGGTGTAGGAAAAAGATGCATTCAGTCTTGTCTCTGTTTTATCACTTTTCTAGTGATGAAATGATTGACTCAACAAGCACCCTTGTGAGAACAGAAAGTGTGAAATCACAACAAAGCAGTCTAACTATGGCAAGTAATGACTCGGTAAGTGAACATCGTTTTGTAAGCCAACCCTCACCTGATGACATCGCTGTTATCATCATCATCATCATCATCATCATCATCATCGTCATCTCTTCATCATCATCATCATCATCATCATCATCATCATCATCATCATCATCATCATCATCATTATCGTCATTATCATCATCTATTTACATACGAGAATGCATAAGGCCATCAGTTTCTATAACAACTTTTTACAGGACAGGGTCATTAGCTCTCAGCCCAGAGTCATCCCCAACCTGTGGGTCCAGGGGATCATTCTTCATTTTCCTCTACTCTTTGACCACTTTTGCATGGCTAGCTCTAACAGGGGTTCAAGACTCCAGGCGTCATAGCTGTAGGGGTCATGGAGACGTGCAAACAGCCTCAACACTATAAAGTGGTGACCCTGTCAAGGCAAGCTATTACTTTTCACAAATGCGACATCCTGGTAGTAGAACCAATCAGAAGCACGTCCCAGATCTGGATAGTGATGCGTCATCAGTATGGAATTTCTTCACTAGTTCCTCGTCATTTCTTGAGGAGCAGTGGCGTCGCAAAATGGCGGTTGTTTCCTCAGCCTATGTTTTTTTCATGCACACTTTTTCTAAAAGTAAGTTCCTGAAACCCTATCTTATTTTGATTTCTTGGATTTACCCTAGACACTGTCTGGAGACGATGTCTCAAGCCCTGATCAAGGCATTGAAGCACAAATATCTGATTATAATTCTGAGACTGGAACGTGGTCACGTGGTAGGCGAGGGGTAAGTATAACTCAGAAGTCTTTGTACAGCCTTCCATCGTCGGGCGCAAACTGAACGCGTGTGTAAACGCAAAGCATGAAGGCGCAGGGGATGGAAATATTGTCTACCCCTATTCCTTCCAGGTCTGTGACAACAGATTCTCTTAATTTAGTGAAATAATGAGCCTTCAGAGAGAAAACGTGCAGTTAACGAGGAAAACAAGTGGACAAGAGTGGCAGTCAGTAAAAAAAAAAAACTCTTTCACTCCCCCCTTTCAACCATCAACACAGTCATTCCGTAGAGACTGTAGAATGTAAAACTATCTGTGTGAAGTCTGCCTTTTTTTTCTTTTTGCACTGTATCATTGCTTATGCTTCACGCATGCGAAGCTTGATTCACTTTTTTTTTTACTAATTACTTTTTATCGTTTTAACATCTGTAATTTCACATTCTATAAACACTTAATAAAAGATACCATATTATTTTCATGAATAACGTTAATCGTTTTTTGATGAGGCACATGAAATTAAAAAAAAATTATAAAACCTAACAAAAACTAACTGAATTCCCACATAAAGCACATAAAAAAAACCTAGCGCAACCATTTTATGATCGTTTTTAATCAGATTAATGTCCGCAATCTGAATGACATCCAGCCTTACATACTAAACATGGTTTGATAGGAGTTGAGCTCTTTGAAACCCAGTAGAAACTGAAAAGAAAAAAAAAAGGAAAAAAATACTGAAATGTTCTCTTTAATCGCTAAAGTTCAAGTGACCCCTTTACAGAACCCCTTATTTAGTTTCTAACAAGGGTGTTTGTGTTGAGTTGCATGCTATTAATATCTAATTGCGAGTTTGTGTGCCTCTTTGATGAAAGGTTGGAAAAGCACACATGCTTTGGGATTTACATGTGAGTAATATTATGCTTTAAATGGCATGGTTATAATTCCTTAATATTCTAACTTACATAATATGAATGTGCAGTAATCATGAACTTAAACAAACATATTTTAGGATAGATCGGGTTGAAATAATTTTAGGCGAGAAGTAAATTAAGCAGATGCGATGATATATAGTTGTAAAATAATTGTGGCTTAACTTGAATATTGATATTGAAATAAATTAAAGTCAAAATAATAAAGCTCTCATTCAACGGGCTTTAAATTAAGATGAAACTACCGTCTCTGTAAAATATAGACTAAGCGTATGATCCAAAGCTCTTAAAAACATTTAACTTTGAAAAAGTTTCTCTCGTTTCTTTAAGTATCCCGAGACTCGATACCCGCTTCTAACTAAAAACGTTTTTTTAAAGACTGTTTCGAGTGGAAAAGATCACTCGACATTTCAAACAATTTTATTTCAGTATAGAGCCGATTTCTAGTCAGCAGACTTCGAGTAATATTCCTTCCCCACGCGTTCCTTTGAGCAGAAAGTATAATTTTCTCGAGCATTGCTAGCAAGGGAAAGTTCCCAAATTAGCAGCAGATTTTATCCAAGCGTACAGTAGTCGTGGTGGACCGTCTACTAGCTACATGTAAACCAGTGTGAAATGTGACGGACCTTGTGACCCTCTGCTGCATGCGTATGCCATCTTTTGGCGGGAAATCGATGGACCACCGAGACAACTTTGTTTGTTTGTTTGTTTGTTTGTTTTGGCGGGAAAGCGTATGTCCAACAACGTTTTTGAAATTAAAGACGACAAGAACAGAAACCAAAAATTTCATCTTGTAGTAAAGTTTTCTCGAAAACTAGTGAAATCTCTTATTGGTTGTATTTTCCACACACACTGAGTACTCAAAACCTTAGCGAGAGTACAAAGTGACAAGTTGAATACGCAACTGTATAAACAGGTCAGCAGAAAACTGATTGGTTTTGTATTTCTTTCTCCTTAGCAACGAGGCAGCTTAATGTCAGAGTGGGTGATTCCCTTTGAAGAGCTGGAGATAACGTGGAGTCCTCTAGGAGTAGGGAGATTTGGCAAAGTTTATAGGTAAAGTAAAGCTAAAAGTTTTTCTCCTTCCCTCATCTTTCTAAGTATCACGTGGAATTTTGAGGAAGAAGTTTGATATCGCAATGTCCTTACGCGACGGCGTCCTTGTTTCATTTGCAAAGCATGCCGGGAAGGGTGTTGCATCCTCCTTTGTAAAGACGTATAATCTTAGTTCATAAATGTGGGGGCTATGGGGTATTGGCAAGTTCACCTGGGTGTGTCAATGTTTTGATCCTTTTTACGTTTTTGATATTTAAAAATGTTTTTTTCTGTGGAAGTTCCAACTTTTGTTTGTTTGTGTAGGAGGGGATGAAGAGTGGGTTAAACAACGCACCTGCGACATTTTTTGTAAACCTGAGCCCTGAAATATAAGCTTCCGCAACCCTGTAATTTATCATGTTTTCGTTTGTGGGGAGTCAAAACGGAGCGAGGGGGTAGGGGCAGTAATCAAGAAAACTAGATTTTCTCCTTCGCTCGTACCTATCCTCACCTCTTATCACTTCTAACTCAATGTTTGTAGCGTTACCTATAGTCTGCGTTGACAAAATCTACAGAAAAACAGTAGATGGTCTACTAGAAGTGCACTAAGCTTGCTCCTTACAGGAAATGTACAATTGATACATTTACCATGATGCCTAAGACAGGACCATCAACTGACCTGATACGACTCACTTTGACTCTGAAGATGACTACCGCACAGGTTGTCGAGACGTTAGTCACTGTCAACAACAACAGTCCTATTCAGGACTACGTTCACCCGGACGATCAAACTCAACCTACTTTAGTAAATGTACAATATGTGATAGGCATTTCTTTGTCTTGAAGGGGTCACTGGCATGGGGAAGTCGCCGTCAAAATCATTGAGATTGAAAATCCCACAGAAGAGCAGTTAAGCGCTTTTAGATATCAAGTCGGAACATTTCGTAAGACTCGACATGAGAATGTAGTACTCTTCATGGGCGCTTGTATGGATCCACCCAAACTTGCTATCATCACCAGGTAATGTTTAAATTATCCAACAACAACTTTATTGACAGCTTTTGTTATTAGTTACAAAGCTTGTTTCCCACAGGTAGCGTAAGCGCTAGTCGAAGCTGCCAAAAACAGGAGATCACATGATCAAGTATAGCGATACTCACGCTGACGTCACCTATTGATATTAATGTGCCAACCAGAAGCGCGTTGGTTCAGTCTTAAACCTAAGATGCTATTGTTTCGCTAATAGAGAGGAGAAGTGTGACGTCACGTTACCATGGTAGCAAAATTTCTGGATGACAACAATAATAAACAATAAAAATACCGAAGGATATCGTCATGATCATGATCGTTGAATCATTTCCACCGACCATAGCGATCAAAAGGAAGAATTATTCGTCTTGCTCTAAGTTTTTCCTGAAATAGATCCTTGCCCAAACCCTCCACCCTCACAAAATATATATCGTTGCATGTAAGAATTATCTTTGCTTCAACAGCATGTGCCGTGGTTTCTCCCTCTATACTCACGTGCATGTACGAAAGGACTCCCGACCTCTGCTAAATTTTGCTCAAATTTGCACTCAAATCGCTCAGGTGAGACTTGTTGACTTATTTTTGTCAGAATAGCTTTGTCGCTTCTTTGTTTTCATTAAAGAACAATTGACGTATCACTGTTCTAGGAAGTACTCTCTTCGGAATTTGGTCTTGAAAATCAAGTGTTGGGTGTTTTTCGAATCTGGTTGACATGATTACCTTCCTTTATGTCGTTATATCTCCAGCATTTTAGTTAAAAGTACTTTTCCGTGTTGTCTTAATCACTCTGTTCCTCTACATATTGATCTACAGGGCATGGGGTATCTTCACGCTCGAGGTATCGTTCATACGGACCTGCGTTCCAAGAATGTTTTTCTGGAGTTAAATAACCGTGTAGTGATCACAGATTTTGGTCTGTTTAGCGTGGCCGGTCTGACGGCCAAGTCAGTTAGACCAGGTTGGCTGATGATACCGGAAGGGTGGCTGCCGTATCTTGCACCGGAAATACTCCGCTCGCTCACAACTCAACAAGATGCTCCGGACTCGTCTCGGTTCACCATGGCAACAGACATGTATGCCTTCGGGTATGTTATTTCCTCTTAAGTCACCCACAGCTTTCTTTTGGTAAAACAGGACTTTAGTATGACAAGACGTTAAAATTCCCAAGTCAATAAACTCGAATAATTAAAATCATATCTTTGGTGTTGCAGGCGTATTTTGGGCGGGCGAAAGTTGCTTGTTTATGTTCGCATTGCTGTAGCCGCCATCTTTGATTTTATGAGAGAGAAAGATTGGAGGAGACTTCCTTTGCTTTTATTTGAATTCAATATGGTGGTTTCAAAATTGCGCAGTCCTTGACATTTATACAGAAACATTCCATCGCGCGTAGAAAGCGCCTGCAATACAGGCTAACATCAAGGTTCGTGCAGAGTCTTGAATTCTTGAAAAAGTCTTGAAAAATGCTCAGCAATTTTCCAGGCCTGGAAAAAATCTGGAAAATAGAGATGGTAAAGAGTCTTGAGTTTTTTTTCAAAGCTACGACTAGCCGACTTTATGTGTTTAATTTTTTTTTGTTTTGGTCAAATCTTATTCGATTTCATTCGTACGTTTGCAGTGCACCACGAAAAAAAGCTTTGTTCCTGCGTTGTGTTGATCACCTATTTGATAACCTTGAGTCTGGAAAAAGAAATTATTGTTTTGGAAAAAGTCTGGAAAAAGTCTTGAATTTTGGATCCCAAAATCTGTACGAACCCTGTAATATAATCAAGGCTCAGTCTTAAATGCCTTCTGTTCTTAAGGAAGGGGGAGGGGGCGGTGCCACAGTATCTTGTTTCTTTAAAGGGAATATGTCACGCTATTGAACAAACTTGTCTTCGCATCAATTGAATTTCAAAAAATAATGGTCCAGTTTTGTTTTGTAGGACTATGGGCGCTTTCCATTCAACCCAAAATTCCGGAAATTACCGTTGGTACATCAAATGGAACGGACCATTTCGGTTTGGTCCGACCGAAATATTCGGGACCAGCTTTGAAGGTGATGCACTTTGACCGGTCTGGTCATTTCGGTCGGTTGGTTCCTCGGACCGAAATGTCCCTTTCCATTTGACAAAATTGTTGTTCCCACTACCGCTCTCTTGTATCCTGCTTACAAGAACAAGAACCAAACGCGCAGTGGCTTGGGTCGGGTCTGTGCAACTGGAATGTACCATCCATTGGGCACGTGGAATTTCCGAAATTTCAAACCGGAATTTTTTTTTGAATAGAGAGCGCCATAGAACTGTTTTGGGGTTCCAATTTTGACCCAGTATTTCGCACATCCTCGAAATGGCCGATAGAAGAAGCGAGAACGTACCCCTAGTCCCATACAGCAATTCGGCACCACACCGATCCATTGTTACTTGCAACCTCAAAATGGCGGTTAATTGCTCGTGCTGATACGAATTCACTTTGATAATCTTTTGTCCTTACCCAGAACTGTGTGGTACGAGATGTGCTCAGGCTCGTGGCCATTCAAAAAGCTTATTCCCGAAGCGATTATCTGGCAAGTCGGAAAAGGCGTTAAACAATCGCTAGCCAATATTGACGTCTCGAGGGAAGTAAAGGTAAGTCAGTACGAGAAACAGGATAAATCAGGGCGAAGTACCAAAAAAATATTCGCGCAAGGGAAAATTAAATGAAAAAAAATTCATGCACGCCTATTTATCCTAAAAAATATTCATGCTATGGCCTAAAAAAAATTCATACAATAAATTTGAAAAATTCCTGCGGCTCGAAAATTCCTTCCCCGCCCCATAACTTTTCTAATGGTCCGTCCCTAACGCCAAACTAAGTGTATCAAGTGCTTGGGAAAACTCTCGTGGGGGCGTCCGCTAAATAGAGGTTTCATTTCCCATTCTTTTCTACAATTATTTCGGGACTTTGATTAGTGGCCGCTGAATGGAGGTTCAACTGTAATTTGCAATGCTAGAAGCGTGTTTTTCTGCCCAGCTAAGTGACAACAAATTCAACATTTCTCAGTTCTGAATGTGTGGGAATTGTGGTAGGTTCACCGACGTGAACATATTTTGTCTGTTTCAGGATTCATTGACTATGTGCTGGGCATTTGATCCCGAAAAGCGGCCGACTTTTAGTGAATTGCTCAGAATTTTAGAAAGACTTCCTAAACAGCGACAGCGGCTAACCAGAAGCCCTTCTCAGCCGTGTACCGTCGGCAGAGCGACTGAGGCGCTCATATGAATTGAATGAATGAACCATTCCGGAAATTAATTCTGAGTGGAGGAAGAGTGAATTCTCTATTACAGAAAACTGCGAGTGTCTGGGGAGAAGCTGCAGTCGGGCAAGCGCTTCTGGGTTATGGTAACCGTCCCGTTCCCGTCCCGTCCCGCAAGGCAGACGCAACGCCATATATGCACGAATGAAGATTTTATAATGAAAGGCATTCAGCTACAATAGGCTGGCTCGTCCCCTGGCATCTTTTAGTGCCAAACTGACAAATATTACTTTTATAGTACTATTCACAAATGCTGTGATTTTTTAACCTTTTAAAATTATAAGCTGAAGGGATCGCAAAATTGAAAGAAATTACTCCGCGGTTCGGTCAGTGTGGATTCCAACCTAAGATTTTTGATACAAGAATTTATTAGATACAACAAATGACGTTGAGAAATATTACAACACAATAGTTCCAATTTTTAAGTTTAAGCCTCGGGGTTTTATCCACAAACGGCCAGCTTTGCATTACCGGGGAACATCGCAATGATCGAGAACTTGGTTCAATTTGTGTACACTCTTTTGTTAAAGTCATTTGAATTTTTTTTTTTTTCATAATTTTTTTTTTGGAAAGGGTGAAGTTAGACATGAAGCTGAGCTTGGCATTTGCCCTGTAAAATAGGAATTTGTAAATAGAGTAATAATTATTGACTGACTTGAGTCCCTGTGGGATCACAAATCAACCGTGTGCTTTGTCACGAGAAAATATTTTGTTTTACTTTTAGGCTGTAATATTAGGTCTCAGACTTTGCTTTTTCGAGAAAAGGTTTTGTAATCGCAAAATACGATTTTATAATTTTAGTATTACCAGTCACTGCTTTAGAAACAGATAAAAATTAAGGTCTCAAAATGGTTCATATTGAGGTAGCCTGCGTACGCAGGCTAATTTTGACGGAGCCCGCGTAGCCTGTGGAATTGTTAGCGCGGGCATAAGTTTTGGAGGAGGAGCTGCGGAGCCGTGCGGAGAATGGGGAGGAGGCTAAGGACACGTTAATTCCTCCAGCTACGCAGGCTAATTTGGAGGGTACGCGTGTAACTGGGTCAGTCCATTTTCGAATTTCGCTATGGGACTGTGTTAGAAGGAAGCCATAACTTTTTTATCGGCTATTAACACTCGTTCCTGGCGCCCTCTCCTGGACCATGGGAACGAGGTTGGGCTATTCAGAGGTTGCGCGGGAAACTGGGTCAAACTTCTTCTCTATTAAAGAAGGCCCACAATGCAATTCAACACCAAACCGACCCAGTCTCTTGCCCAACCTTGAACTGACACGACTTTTCGTAAACTTGTTTAGTGTACGTAATTTCTTTATTGCAGGGTACTATCATGTACAAGGTTGACTTTACTTCAGTTTTGATAATTTATTTTCCTGGAAAAAAATAACTGCTCGAAATGTAATATTGTATATTGTTATCAACTCTTAAAGCTTCAGTTTCCTGTGTTTTCTTTCCAAGGTTAAGGCCCCGCTCACACGAATCCGGGCTTTTTGGAAGCCGCATATTTTGTTACCCGGATTCGAGTGTATGGGGTCCTAGAACACTCTGTAGCTAAAAGATGCGGTTTTGGTCAGCGGATTCACTGGTTTCATGAGAACGGAGGGTCAATATTGTCTATGGTAAAACAAAAACGCTGTTAGTAGCGTTAAGTCTCGCTTGCTTGGAGATAGGATAAGAAATGAGGAGGCGATTAGACCGCGAGCGGTCGTCCTTCTTTCCTCAGAGCCAGGCGCGGCGAGCGAAAAAGTAAAGTTATGCTCTCGACCTACTGTTACTCAAGAGAAAAATAAGAGACTGCTCGCAGTCTAGGAGACGATTAATTCTACACGAAACTGGATTTCCTCGCTTAAAAGTTTTTCTATTCCTACTTTATCGACGGTCGAGTATTCTTCAGGATACTTACTTTTTGTATTGTTTCCGACGATTTGGTTTTTGAATTGATTAGAACGCATGTGTAAATAAACGAAAATCAAGGAAACGTGATGAACATAGCGCAAAAAAGAGCGGTCGCATTTTCAGAGTCTCGCAGCTAAAAATCTGCTACACAGCCGTTTTTACTGTCGTCACGCAACGCTCCTCCCCACAGGGAGGAAGAGGCGTTGCGTGACGACACCAAAAACGGCTGTGTAGCAGACATGAGGCTAAAGCAAGCTAGACTAAAAAATATGCGTGGTTTCAAAAATATCCGGATTCGTGTGAACAAAGCCCATGAATATGCAGTGCGGAACTCGAAGGGAATCCCACTGAGAAAGGGCTGATTCCAAAATGAAGTATCACTCCCTTACCAAGGACTCGATCTAGTTTACACCTTAATGCCCCTATCCCTATTCACCCGCCCACCAGGCAAAGTAGTCATTAGATGGCTATCCCTGAAAATAATTTATGTCTTTTAGAATAGCTGTTCAATTCACTTTACTATGTGTTTTTGCATTGCTTACAGTTCCTTAATTTAATATGTCCTTTACTCGCACTGACGATCTAGTTAACGGGGCATGATGTGTGAAGGTCTGATTACTGATATTTTCATCTTAAGCCCCGTGCAAACGGACGCAACGTTGTTGGCCAACAACTCCCAACATTGTTGGATGTTACATGTTGCGTCCGTTTCCACACCCTGTTGCGTGTTGTTGCGCCAAGTTTGAAACCGGTCAAACTTTTAGCTACGTACAAACGGACGCAACAACTCCCCACATTGTTGGCCCAACAATGTTGCTAGTTGTTGCGTCCGTTTGCACACCACTGCCAACACGGGCGCAACAACTCCCAACATTGTTGGGCTAACAATGTTGGGAGTCGTTGCGTAAGTTTGCACGTAGCTTTAGCTCTTGAAGTCCCAAGAGTGAGCAGCATAAATTTTTTCCCAACAACACAGAAAATGGTTTGACTTTTTTATCAAATTCTCCCAACCAAATTCTTTAAGAAAATGTATGGAGATCAGTTTGGAGAATTTGTGTGTGGATATTGGGGCTTAATGTCGATTATTGGGTTAAAACAGAAAAAGTCTGGTCGAGCCCTTGCGTATTTAAAGATTTATACAGACAAACCACCTTTGTAAAAAACGGGTTTAAAGTGTGAAAACTCCTTTTGCGCTTTTTTTTTTCTTAAATTGACATAGTGAATGAGTAGCCTGTGCAAACGGATCGTGTAATGGCGTTTGCCTTCACAGGTTGTAAAACTTAAATTTTATGCACCCAATATATTGATTTAAATAATAACTTAATATATTGGCTGGATTGGACTCTCTTTTGGTGTTAAGTGTATAAAAACTGGGCTTATCTAACAAGATTGAACTTTTTCCTTCAGCCTTATAATGTGAGGGAGTTCCTGTGCACATCTCATGCAAGTTATCGATATTTCGCTCTGAACTTTTCATTTCGTACTATATGGAGCATTCTCAAAGTGTTATGCATTTATTATCCACCGTCAGGTTTTCGAATTGAAGCCACCCTTTGGGTTGCCTTATTCTATTGAATTGATGCGTAAAGCAAAAGAACGCACAGGCGGCCCAAACTTCACTTTGCGAACGCTAAATAACGCTAAACCTTACTTTTTCTTAAATGAAATGAATACAAAAGACTTACCTGCAATGTATTCCACTGCGTTTTGGTGTCTGTTTGTCGTTTTACTGATTTTTTTGGTTTTATTGCGTAACCGCTGTTACTCCTTCCATAAAACGAACTTAATTCTATGGAATTCGCAATGAAGCCAAAAACACCAGTAAAACGACAAACAGGTACCAAAATGCAGTGGAATACATTGCAGGTAAGTCTTTTGTAAGGTTTAGTGTTATTTAGCGTTCGCAGATCTCAGTAATATATTTCTCATACAAAGTCTCTTATATTTCCAACGGTCGCCTGTAACGCGATACCGGCGCGTCACCTATGTTATAGCCTGCGTAGCTAGCGGTATTGTGTAGTAGTCGAGTGAGATTTGGCGGCGGAGCCGTTGTAATATAGTCGAGTGACATTTGACGGCGGAGCCGTCAAAAGCGGCGAAGCCGCGAGAAATATTTCAACCGCCTCGTCCCTACTCCCTTTTTTTGGAACACGGCTCCGCCGCCAAAACTTTAATCTCACACCCACACAATACCGCCAGCTACGCAGGCTACCTATGTTATGTAAATTACATTACACCCTTCCCTCGTAAAGTGAGTTTGGGCCGCATGTGAAGAACCTTGCAAAATAAGTACCCTATCAGGGATGAAATTCTTGCAGTCACTGTCAACAACAACAGTCCTATTCAGGACTACGTTCACCCGGACGATCAAACTCAACCTACTTTTGAAATGACTCCTGGGCTCAAACCTTTCACAGAAAAGATTCTGTTGTGTTGACCCCCAATATGGCCGCCTTGTCACGTGGTTTCAGACCAAGAATAGGTGTTTTTGAGTGACAGCAGGGTTACATACTGCCAAATTAAGTTCAGTATGGAGTACTAAAGTGATGACGTCATAAAAATGAAATTTCTGAAATTATGGGATTTGTCAGGATATTCTGAAAGAACAATGTCCAAGAGGCCTACTTGCCAAAAATGAGCATTTCGGGGCAAATTGCCTCTGAGATAGTAGCCCAGTTATACTCAGAAAACTCCATACAAACCCTTCTAATTTTTTTTTGGGTCGACCCAAGAAAAATTTAGAAGGGTTTGTATGGAGTTTTCTAAGCATAACTGGGCTACGATCTCAGAGACAATTTGCCCTGAAATGCTCATTTTTGGCAAGTAGGCCTCTTGGACATTGTTCTTTCAGAATATCCTGACAAATCCCATAATTTCGGAAATTTCATTTTTATGACGTCACACTTTAGTACTCTTTAACGGCTCACACGGGAAAGCCAGTTCCACTGGTTCCCCAACCGTCGAACTCCTGTTCTAAAATAGAGAGTTACAGACCAGACAACCCGACAAAGTTCATAAGAAAGATTCTTTCGACTGAATGGAAGGCGTTTGGGGTTGTTGTAGAGCCACGACAAACTAACGGACCTACTAACAATAAAATATTGACTTCATGATTCAAATTGTGATCGCTCCTGCGTGTTAACATTTTCCAAGTGTGTGTGGGACTTGTTTGAGATATGCATAAGCACAAATATTGGCCTCAACCGCAACGATATAACTCAGGGCCGGGTTGCTCAAAGCAGGATTAAGATAAGCCGGGGTTAGTGCGAATTTTAAATTCAGATATAAAAGCCAGGTAAAAGCTTAAAAAGCAAATTCAGTTTAATTCTTTTGGTCGGCAATTTGGTGATTGGGTGCTCCAAAACAAATAGGGAAAATTATCCGAGAAAATGCTTTTAAACAAAAGAAAAAGTATCCCGCATTAAAATTTAACCCCGGGTGAGCGCTAATCGGCCTTCGAACAAATGGGCCCAGTGTGATGGCGAATTTTAACCCTGATGATTAATATGACCTGGTTAGCAAGTTAGTTTAGGCTCTCTATACCAAAAGCTACAGGAGCTTAGCCAGGGTTGAATAGCTTCCTGTGATATACCAGCTGCCTACTACTAGGATTGAGTTTTGCCGAGCGGGCATATTGATTTCATGGGAAATTGGGAACTCGGCAATAACTCTCACCATTTTTTGACATACCCCGCCCTTTTTTTAATCATCTTCTAGTTAGCTTCAAAGAAACTTGTGATCCAATACAAGCAATATTTTGCTTTTTCAATCATTTGCGGTTACAGCAATTACTGTTTATTTATTTGTGGTTACTGCTTATTTCATTTGCTTCCCAAGCAACAAAAGATTTAAGTAATTGAAACCGGTTCGGCTTTATGAATTAACGTGCAAACAAATTAAAATTGACCAATATATCTGCATCTTAACAACAATTATAACCTGCGTGCAAGTAGCCTCCCACGCAGACGTTCTTAGGGGTTCGTCACGCGTTCCTGCCCCACGAACGTCTGCGTGGGAGGCTAGCGTGCAGGTTTACTTGTGCGATTTCGGGGAAAATGGGCACAAGCCTGAGGCAACTTCCGGAGCCAGGAGCAATCGGCTCCTGACGCAACTTGAAGCCAATACAACCTTTTCGATTTTGTCACATTCAAGTAAAAAATGTCAGTTAAAACACGTTCCACATAATAAACTGGTCCACAATATGATAATAATAGAAGTCTTTTTTCCTTTTTTTAATGGCTTTTACGAAATTGTTTAGTTGGGGTCGAAAAGCCAAGGGCTGATTAAGTGTCAGAAGATTAAAAGTTTCTCTCCACTAATACTGGTGATAGTAGATACTCGCTCTCAGTAAAGTGCCAAGTCTTTAAGCTGCCGTTTTTTAAATTCTTTCTTTTTCTTGCATGGAGCCATTATCAACAACAAAAACAACGAGCTTTATTTTCATGACCATACAAGCACATACAGTATTACAAAAGCTATTTTTAGGAATCAAATTTTCATCATAGGGCAATTACGTTACTTTGATAATAATTTGT